TATAATAGCAATGAAGCTCAAGGGGTTTAAGTAATATATAGTTGGATATTATTCAACACACTTGTTTAATTTCCACTCCTTTCTGCATCTATTTAAACAATGTTGTCATATTGAGAATGCTGGTGGTTTATAATAAATCTAAGTATACTCAGCATGAAGCTCCGCCTCCTGTTGCTTTGAAGGTTTGAGTGATGTAGCAGTCAGAACCGCCTCCTCAACTATATATGACTCATATTAGACTATAATAATGGATGTTGTAAATAATCTTTCTCTTGAGGACCACAATCTTGCAGCTGAAGCACATTTGTGTTCAGATTTATAGTGATTTTTCCCACAAGTCATAAAAAACATGCCATTATTTTGCAATAGCAATCTGTTTCAGTGTCTCGTGCAGATTAAAAGAAAGGGGCAAAGAAATTTAAACCTATCACGCAAATTATAATCATGTGACATGCATATGAATCAACATGCAAACACATGAATACATCTGATTTTATGACAGAATGAAATAAGTGTGTGTGTGTGTGTGTGTGTGTGTGTGTGTACCTACTTAACAATATATTTTGGGGACAAATGTGTACCCAAAAGTTGTGTGTGTGTGTGATAGGCATTGTCAAGGGAGGCACTACATTAATTACATTAACTACAAGGCTGTGAGAGATAGATGAACAGTGTTGTTGTGTGCATGTTTCTAAAAAATATCCTGGTGACTGAAAACACAAATGTAAAACAGGACCTTAAGGGGATTGTGCACGCAAAAATGAAAGTTCTGTCATCGGTTACTCACTCTTCACTTGTTAAAAACCTGAATGAGTTTCTTTCTTCTGTTAAACACAGAAGAGGATATTCCGAAGAACGTTGGGAAACAAACAGTTTACGGTAGCCATTGACTTACACTGTAAGCAGGGCTGGGTAAATACTAACATAATCCACTGCATTACACATTTTAGGTAATATAATCAGACTACTTTTAGATTACTTTTGACCTGACTCGTTTATGACGTTGATTTAATCGTGTACCATATTGGTATAAAAATACAAAGAGGAAGAAAATATATTGCATTTGTTGTTAGTAACAACATGAAGTGCATTAAACATTACATTACATCAAGGTCAAAGAAAATGTAAAATGAAAATAAATCATTTTAAAATACCAACAATTTAAAATAAAACACTTACTAAAAATATATCATGTGACCATCAACCAGTGAACATGCAAATGTGTTAATTAATTCTAGACCTATTAGCTAAAATCTCAGGGGATACTTCAAGTAAACATATCAGGTGAAAGAGATATATAAATAAATAAGAATTAACAGCAATTGTGTGAATAAAATGCAATCATGTAATCAATAAAAAAGTAACTGTACAAGTGATTACAAGTATTTTAAATGTAAAATTAGTTATTAATTTTGGAATCTGATTATGTAATCCAGATGACACGTGATCAGTCCCACGTGCTTGTACTGTAGCGGTCGTGACGCTAGGTGGCGCCGTGTGCCTTTCCGTGCGTCCTCCATGAGCGGAAGTAGAAGAGTGACGTCATAACTTCTGCTTTCCCTGAGCCATCTATGGAAAGATATTGAAACATTTATTAAAGATAATATCCAACCAGATTTATCGGTTACTTTTAAAGATATTATTTTTGGACACTTTGATTCTGATTCTAATAAAAACAAAGCTTGTTTTGTTATAAATTTAATTTATTTTCTTGGCAAATTCTATATCCATAAATGTAAATTCACCAACAACAAACCAATTTTTCTTGTTTTTTTGAAAGAAATTTAAATGTATCTTAATACTATTTCATCCTCTGTAAATAAGAAAGCGAGAAGAACAACCTCAATTTGTAATGACTTTAATTTGTATACTCTAATTGAAATATAAATTAATATCTTACCCTCATGTTTTTTTTTCGTTTCGTCCAATTTTTTTGTTTTTTTTGTTCTGTATGTTCAGATGACATTGTACATGTTGTTGATAAATGTTATGTACTCTATACAAAGTTGTATATCTTTAATGTCATCTTTGTGATGTTTGCATTCATAATAAAAAATAATAATAATAAAAAATAAAAAGACTTTTTTTTTAGTAAAGTTGCGTGAAAAAAATCCCGGGTCGCGGTTTTTTGGGCTTATTTTAAAAAATATGGTTGCTTGTTTGGGAAATCTGACAAGCAACGTCGTTTCTTTCTTTATGTTCGCGGTATTCTCCGATGCATTGCATGACACTCTGTCTGCTCGCCGTTAATAGCCAACCAGTGCAATAATATAAGTGCTGCAGCATAATATGCCGAATGCTCCGCCCCCTCAGCTCGCGCTCTCCGTGTGGGAACCACGTGTTCCTGGGCTGCAGGTCCGAGTAAAAGCTCTGGCAGTTTACATCATTCACATTTACAGCTATATAGAGCCGCAAGCAGGAAACAATTCAGCAACAGGCGAAAATAGCAATGAATACCGAATGCTGTAATTGATCAACTGCATACATAACACATTTGAATGACAAAAGTTGGTCCTTTGCTGGTTTAAGCTGGTCCTTTGCTGGTTTATGCTGGTTTAAACTGGTCCTTTGCTGGTCTAAGCTGGTCCTTTGCTGGTTTAGACTGGGCCTTTGCTGGTTTATGCTGGTTTATGCTGGTTTAAACTGGTCCTTTGCTGGACTAAGCTGGTCCTTTGCTGGTTTAAACTGGTCCTTTCCTGGTTTAACAGTAATTTTAATTTGTAATATAGCCATTACCACACACTCACAAAAACAAGAGCTACACTACTGTGCAAAAGTCTTAGACACTAGTATTTTCACCAACAACAGAAAAATTGGTTTTAAGTCAGTTATTTCTCTCTTTTGCTGTAGTGTGTCAGAAGGAAATATCAGTTCACATTTCCAAACATTGCTTTTGCCATTAACTGTAATAATGCCGTGAGAGAGGAGTCTGAAAGCAGCCAGTGCTGCACACAGAGATCTGATCTGATCATCATCAGTCCGTCTGAGATTACATGAAGAAACTGAGACAGACTCGATCCAGAAGAACTGTGGCAGCGTCTCCTAAACGCTTGAAGAAACCTCCTGCAAAGCTACAGTACTGTAGGCACCTGTGTAAAAATGCTGCAAAGTGAGGATGCTTTCAAAAATAATGTCATATATAGATTTTATTTATTAATTAACTTCTACTAGTTTTTCAGGTAGCTTCCAAAACTTTTTCCCCCTGACTTTGAACTGACCTCAGCTCTTGACTGAAGGTGTTATTGCTGTTGATTCATGTGGTTTCAGGGCTTGTGTAACTGTGTTGTGCGTCATGGTTTGTAGGTATGATCCGGTGTTGCTGGAGAAGGTGAGAGAGATGGCAGAGGGGATTGTGGTGGAGGAGATGAACTGATCAAACAGCAGCAACAACAGAAGCTAAACAATCCTGCGATCATTCACCCAGTCCTTCAGTTAAACTGCATTGAAGCTGAAGCGTGTATTATCTCTGGAAGCCTGTTTCCGCCACCGGATAAATGTAAAGGGTTATTGTGACTCTTTTTTTATCTCCCACTTCTGACGTGCTTTCAGAGTTGCAAGTTAAAGTTTTCCAGTTCTGAGTTTATATCTCACACTTCTGCGAACTGCGACAGAAAAGGTCAGAACTGTGAGATGCACATTTAGAATTGTGAGGACAAAAGTCAGAATTCTGAGTTTGTGTCTCACAGAATTGAGGAAAAAATCTAAATCGTGAGATCAAAAGATGCAGCTACCCTTATTTTTCATCGCGTAGTCAAAAAGGGCTTCCATAATTATTTGTGCCAATTCATCAACAAGCAGATTTGAAAATATAAATGTGACCCTGGAGCACAAAACCAGTCATAAGTGTCCATTTTTCAAAATTGAGATTTATGCATCATCTGAAATCTGAATAAATAAGCTTTCCATTGATGTATGGTTTGTTAGGATAGGACAATATTTGGTCGAGATACGACTATTTGAAAATCTGGAATCTGAGGGTGCAAAAAAATCTAAATATTGAGAAAATCACCTTTAAAGTTGTCCAAATTAAGTTCTTAGCAATGCATATTATTAATCAAAAATCAAGTTTTAATATATTTACAGTAGGAAATTTACAAAATATCTTCATGGAACATGATCTTTACTTAATATCCTAATGATTTTTGGCATAAAAGAAAACTCTATAATTTTGACCCATACAATGTATTGTTGGCTATTGCTACAAATATACCCCAGAGACTTAACACTGCTTTTGTGCTCCAGGGTCACAAATGTCTGTCTGTTCATCATACAAAGTGAGTGTTTTGCTTCAGAAGACTTACAATATGCCCGTTGAGTATTATGGTCTAATTTCATCTTTATATATACTTTATGAAGCTTAAGTGGCAGTTCATTGCTGGCAAGATGGGCTTTAATAAAGCTTGGCAGTCGTGAAACGTGAAAACTGTTTTCCAAGCAGTGCTCCATGGTGTTTCTTTTTGCCAAAAACTTCCATAAAGCGGATTTAAAATCTGCAAACTTTGGCGGGAAAAAATTGCAAAATTAGCTATTATTGCAAATCATCTTTTCTGTCTTCTTCTGCCTGCAATGACTTGAATCACAGCAACTTGAAATAACTTCTAGCTTTGACTTGTAATGCTTTATCCCTAGCTGTACATAAGATGACCCGTTTTTAAAATAGTTTTTTTACTAGGCATGTTTTAATAATTACCTGCAATAAAAATGAATGCATTCTCTTCACTCCAAGTCTGAAAAATGTTTTATTTTTCTTTCATATACAGCATACTCGAAGTATAAATGTTCTTATGATAAATTCACAAAAACATCCGCTCAACAGTCATCCAGGCATTACTCGTGTGTTCTTCCAAAACTCAGTTTATAAGAACATGCCCTCGTTTTATCAACCGAAGCATGAACACATGAGCTTTAAGATGCCGCATCAAATACAGATACAAAAAACGATTCCCACAGTCGATCTTTAGGTGCATTTAAAGGCAAAACGGGCACGGCATCAGTTTTCAAATATATTAATAATGGATTACCGAAGCACTTTGAGATGGACTGCACTGGACAACATCTTTGCCAATAAATTGCATTCAACTGCATCAATCCAACAACAGTACGATTCAGATTTTGTTAGCAATAACTTATCATGCAGTAAAAAAAAAAAAAAAAAACACAAATATTGTTGATTTTTGTGAAGTGCATTAGCAAAGAACTGAATAATCCTATGAGTGTTTGTGGTGTGCAGTTGCGTTATGAGTCGACCCAGCTCTGCTCCACGATGGCAGACACTCTCTTCTCATATTCACGTTTGTTCTCCTGATAGAGCTGAGCCGCTTGACTGTTGGCTGGGCTGTTTGGATTAGGCTCGTCTAATAGAGACTAAAAACAATCACAAATCTGAATGAGTGTTCAGTCGCACAACACCCTTCAGGAATAAATGCAGCTCGTATTTCACTCACAAATCACAAGAGTTCAGTGCGTCAAGACTCATACTGTTTGTCAACGTGAAGTTAAACGGGACAAAAATGCTCATAAAATATTAAATATGTAACCCTGGAGCACAAAACCAGTCGTAAGGGTCAATTTTTTGAAATTGAGATGTATACATCATCTGAAAGCTGAATAAATAACATCCATTGATGTATGGTTTGTTAGGATAGGACAATATTTGGCTGAGATACAACTATTTGAAAATCTGGAATCTGAGGGTGCAAAAAAATCTAAATATTGAGAAAATCATCTTTAAAGTTGTCCAAATGAAGTTCTTAGCAATGCATATTACTAATCAAAAATGAAGTTTTGATATATTTACGGTAGGAAATTTACAAAATATCTTCATGGAACATGATCTTTACTTAATATCCTAATGATTTTTGGCATAAAAGAAAAATCATTAATTCTGACCCATACAATGTATTGTTGGCTATTGCTACAAATATACCCCAGCGACTTAAGACTGCTTTTGTGCTCCAGGGACACATATATATATTATTTTTCCTGCATTTACTGACAGATCTTTTGACCAACTAGGCACACGGCAGTATCAAATTTTTTTCATTTTGTGATAATTGCTCAAGCTTTTATCACAATATTGAAATAAGTTGTAAAACTGTTTTTTTTTATAACAAAAACAACTCTATACATTTTTTGTGCATTGTTTTATTGTATTTAAATGTTCAAAGTAAACAAATGTTTCAAACAGATTAAAGTGCAAAAGAATTATAAAGAACAGTAAGAACAGTAATAATAATATAGTAATACTTTACAATAAAGTCTCATTAGTAAACGTTAGTTTAATGCATTAACTAACATTAACAATGAGAACTAGTTACATTTGTTACAGGAGTTATTAACGTTAGTTCAAAAATACAACTGAACTTAGTTGTTATTCAGGTCAATTAAATAATACACTTACGACTTTTAATTTTAATAATGTGTTATTAAACATTAACTAAGATTAAAAAATGCTTAAGAAGTAGTTTTCATTGTCAGTTATTGTGAGCTCGTTTAACTAATTAATGAACTGATGTTAGCATTACAGCATTTTAACCAGATGATAAGAGAAGTATTCTTAAAATGCATTCTAAAAATTTGAATAATAAATATTTACTCATGGTATTTTGAAGTGCCCACGATAACAATATTATGCATGATATATTGTATTATTGCATATCAGCACGTCTATCACCAACATTATTCCTGATCATAACTACAAAAAATGTATTCATTTTTTTTTTGTTGGATTTAAAACAACAGAAATATAATGCATATATACACCTCATTTAAATACATTCACATGTATTTTAATCTAAAATATTATAGTAACTGATTACATGTAATCTGGATTACATCATCAGATTCCAAAAATGAAGTACTCATAATTAGAACATATTACATTCTATAATCAGTTTACAGTTACTTTTTGGTTACTTTTTTACAGTTACTTTTGGTCGGTTAATGGTCACACTGACATGCAGGTAAACAAATCAAATATTAATATTTTTAGTGTTTAGATTATTTTCATTTTACATTTTTATGATTTGTTAGTTTTTATCATCTCACAGACCCACTGTATTTCTTACATTAAGCCCAGTTTGGGAAACCCCGGTGTAATGTAATGTTTAATGTTTAATTAAAAATGAATATATTTTCTTTCTCTTTGCTTTTTAATATCAATATGGTATGATTAATACAAGTTAGATAAAAAGTAATCTAAAAAGTAGTCAGAATACATTACTAACTACAGTTTTCATCATGTAATCTGTAATCAGTAATGGACTACAATTTGTTATGGAATAATAAAATGCAGAAGTGTAACAAGAACAAACCCATCATGCACCTGGATGGATGTCAGAATGGAGGAAACGTCATACGTGGGACTCCAGCGATTCTGAAGAATGTCTAAACATATGCTGCCATCTGCATACACTGACAAACACAATATCATTCATCAGAAACCCTGCAGACGCTGATCGCAATCTTTCTTCCAGAACGCAACTGTTAGCAGCTCACCGTTTGGGTGAAACATTTTGGAGATGAAGCGAACCGTAGGAGGCTTGTTAGGATATTCTTCTGAAAACTCAATGACCAGCTTAAATGTTCCTGCGGAGAGAGAGAAATCAGATTAATACAAATAGCATCGCCACATCAAGCTTTTGCGGCATGGTCAGTAAAAACATGAATGTACAAATGGGCTGCAACAACGAATCAATAATTAAAATAATTTTCCCGCCAGTTTGATGCATACACACGCCTGTCTGTGAAGTCTGAGCCTTCGTGCAAAATGAAAATAAGCACGACTTTCTAACATGCACAGTCAAGGATACAACCGTAAAATGTAAGTTATTATGAAGTTGCCTTTTTATTTTTATGCAACTGAACATGCCGTGCAAAACTGATTATATTGTAATTAAAAAACAGAGTGTGATATTTTGCACATTTTTCTACAATACTTCTTCTTAGTCATTAAATGCAGGTTTAAAATTCCACATGCAACACAAGTCATTGTATTGTTATGAGAGCGGTAACTGTAAACCGTCAGCTGTAGTGGAGTATGAATGTAATTATTATGTTCAGACGATTGTGTGTTCCTTGTTACAGTTAGTTAGTTATTTTAATTTAAAATGGTCAGCAATAAGAAACTTATTTTGTTGTTTTCAGGGATCTTTATACACACACACATATATATATATATGCATTTATATACAATAGAAATCTTTTCTAACAATATACAACTTTTACTATCAAAAAAGAAAGAAAAAACAATTACTGACCCCAGACCTTTGAACAGTATTGTGTATATTGTTACAAAAGATTTCTATTTTTGATAAATCCTGTCCTTTTTAACCTTTTATTTCATCAAAGAATCCTGTCTAATCCTATCCTGAGTATTTACAGATTCCAAAACAAATATGAAGCAGCACAACAGTTTTCAACATTGATAATAAATCAGCATATTAGAATGATTTCTGAAGATCATGTGACACTGAAGACTGGAGTAATGATGCTGAAAATACAGCTGCGCATCACAGAATACATTATATTTCAAAATATATTAAAATATAAAACTGTTATTTTAAACTGTAATAATATTTCACAATATTACTGTTTTTTTCCTGTATTTTTGATCAAATAAATGCAGCTTTGATGTGCAGAAGAGACTTCTTTAAAAAAAATAAAAATAAATCTGATCCCAAATATCAGTATTTTTTTTTTCATAAAAACATCAAAATGTTATTAATTAAATGTAAAGTAATGTTTAGTGTAAAGTAAATTGATAGATCATTAATGCTTATTTGTAAACATGGTAACACTTTACAACAAGGTTCCATTAGTTAATGTATTAACTAACATGAACAAACAATGAACAATACATTTAATACAGTATTTATTAATCTTTGTTAATGTTAGTTAATGAAAATACAGTTGTTCATTGTTAGTTCACAGTGTGATAACTAATGCTAACAAGCACTTTTTTTTAATAAAGCATTAGTAAATGTTGAAATTAATATTAGCTAAGATTAATAAATGCTGTAGAGGTGTTGTTCATTCTTAGTTCATGTTAACTAAAGTAGTTAACTAATGAACCTTATTGTAAAGTGTTACCGTAAAATTTTAGGATCACTATTAATGCAATTAATGTCTACTTCTAATAAATCATTAACAACTCCTTTACTACTGGTTTAAATACTGAACATCAGTTAGGTATAGTTAACAAATTGTTAACAACGGATAATACAACATTATATAACACTTACACAGAAGCTAATTAAACAAGAATTTGTTAACTACCATGATACTGAATGAAGAAGTCACTATTGGTGCATAGCCTATGAATGATTTAACAATGTAGAGACTACAATTTATTAGCTATGAATTAACTATTAAATAATAACAAATGATTTAATATTAAATACTGTTACATTTTATTTTAATTAAATCTATACATTTTTATATAAACATTAATAATTGGATTTTTTTTAAACAAACTAATCAAAGAAATATTGGTCACACTTTATTTTAAGGTCCAATTCTCACTATTAACTACGGCTTTTGTCTCAGTAAACTCCTTATTTGCTGCTTATTAATAGTTAGTAAGGTAGTTGTAAGTATGGGGTCGGATTAAGGAATCTAAATTAAGCTCATGCAGAATAAGACATTAATATGTGCTTTATAACTACTAATAAACAGCCAATATGCTAGTGATATGCATGCTAATCTGTAACTAGTTAATAGCGAGAATTGGTCCTTAAAATAAAGTGCTACTGAAATTATTAACAGATGCACTAATCATCAATACAACTGTTAGCTGCAGCTGTAAAAATGACACATTAGGAGTAAATACATCAGGCATGTTGGACCTGAGACCCGCAAAAGTTTATAAAAACATCAATAATTAATGCTGAGTACATGTTTATTAACTAGTGTTTATTTGGAGTGGCTCACCGTCTTCAAAAGGAGTTCCTACAGGCCTGCAAGGAAACACAGGAACAAAGCTGATGCTCTTCAAGCATAAACACGTCTGTAACAGATCCACATCTCTTCATGCACTGCAATGCTCTCGTTACACTTTCACTACACTGCACTATATATAATATGTGAGCCTGGAGCACAAAAGCAGTGTTAAGTCTCTGGGGTATATTTGTAGCAATAGCCAACAATACATTGTATGGGTCAAAATTATAGATTTTTCTTTTATGCCAAAAATCATTAGGATATTAAGTAAAGATCATGTTCCATGAAGATATTTTGTACATTTCCTACCGTAAATATATCAAAACTTAATTTTTGATTAGTAATATGCATTGCTAAGGACTTAATTTGAACAACTTTAAAGATGATTTTCTCAGTATTTTGATTTTTTTTGCACCCTCAGATTCCAGATTTTCAAATATGGTCCTATCCTAACAAACCATACATCAATGGAAGTTTATGTATTCAGCTTTCAGATGATGTATACATCTCAATTTCAAAAAATTGACCTTTACGACTGGTTTTGTGCTCCAGGGTCACATATGTTATATATACACTATATAATATCAGTTCTAGTCATTTCAGCATACATACCCAAAGATCACCGCGTTCCACAGCATGATGTTGTTTTCTGAAGGAGCACCACTCACACCAGTTGGAGGATCTTCTTGAAGTCTGCAAACAAATATGAACAAGCTTATGGGTTATATATTGAATACTTATCCTTCATGGGACCCCAGACAGAGTTTCATCCTCACATTATTTTGAGTGAGTTTCTCTGAGACCGCAGGTGTGCTGTTCAGAGCACACTCAGGTTTGATCACAAACACACTTTCTCTCGGGCTTTAAATATGACTGATATTGACAGAATGATCAGATTTAGCACTCCTGGGGAAATGTGGTATAGCGTTTTGGAATTATCTTTTAAATCTGGCTAATTGTTTGTCATAAATAAACATCTCAGAAAAATGTTACGGGGTTTTAAATCAGAATATGACTTTTTGTTACGAAACTGGGTGTAATTTTCATGCATGTCTTCTGTAGAGAACAAACAGCAGGTTAATCAGGCATTTTGAGGAAACAAAACAAGAAATTATAGATCAATATTCCTATGAAATATGAGATATTCTTATGAAAATGTTGCTAAGGTATTACTCCCATTATTACACTTCTTTTTTCATTATGATTTGCCCCAAGAACACATTAATATGCAAATTAGATGCAGTGTATAGATACATTGTGTATCAAGTTATGGACATTTTACATATTCCATAAAGTACAGTAGCATATCAAATCATTCTGTTATATCTTTCATAACACAGTTGAGAATCATCTTTGCACAAAGTTTGGCTAAAAACAGCCTGAAACATAAAAACTGAGTGGTGAATGAAAAAATAAATCATTTGTTTTTGCCTATACATGCCTTTTCATATCTATTTTTAATGTTTGATTAGTAATATGCATTGCTAAGAACTTCTTTAAAGGAGATTTTCTCAATATTTAGATTTTTTTGCACCCTCAGATTCCAGATTTTCAAATAGCTGTATCTCAGCCAAATATTGTCCGATCCTAACAAACCATACATCAATGGAAAGCTTATTTATTCAGCTTCAGATGATGCATACATCTCAATTTCGAGAAATGTACTCTTACGACTGGTTTTGTGCTCCATGGTTACATATTTGTTTTGAGAGACAATAAAAACATCTTGTGCATCAAAACCACTCCTTTCCCAGTAAAAATAAAGAACTTGTTTTTCAGGTCATTGATGTATAAGCCACAAAATAAACTTCACTCCATAAAATAAGTTTAATCAAATACACAACAAGCATTTCAAGGTTTAGTTTTAAGGATGAAGTAGGTGCAACTATAGATGTAGCTATAGAAATTAATGATTACCTTACAAACAGTAATTACAGTTTAAATATGAATTCACTGTAAGCATGCATGTGCACAATTAGTGCATTATTGTATCAAATAGTTAAAGACACTTAATATAAAGTGGGTCTGTTTTATATAAAAATAAAGAGTTATAGTGAAGTCCAAATGCCGAGATATGTAATCATTTGACTGTGATGCTATTTCTGGCTGTGTCTTCAGACCTACACAACATCTGTGGCCCTTATGAGTGCTAAACAAGCGATGCCCACAAATGCTGTCGACCAAGTACTGTGGTACTTTACTATGGTACTTCGAGAAAAACATCGCGAGCTCGTGCTAGCGCTGCTAAAGGCTAGTCCGGAGTGTAAACACATCAACACATCACACTCATCCGCAGACACGAACCTCTTGAAGTCTCTCATGAGGCGTCGTCTCGCCGGAGTAGACATGCTTTAATAACGGGTCATAAACGCGCAGAAGGCCGTCGCGTTCAGGAGGAGCGGAGCGATGCGCCGGTGACGTCACCCGTGACGCCATCGCCCTGGCAACAGCCGCGGCGGCTTTGATGCTGTTGTTTTTGAAGCGGATCACAATCCGGGTTGCCAGATCCGTGGTTTTCCCGCGGAATCGGGTTACTTTAACACTGTTGCCGCGGGTTGTTTTTCATGTCCGCGGGTTGAAGCGACACCAATAACTTGATATTTAGCTCCTGGGATGAAAGTTTTACCCCCTGGAACGCGTTTGTACCCTTTTTCTGAAACGCGTTTGGGCTAGTTTTGTTGTGAACACCTGGCAACCCTGAACCCAATGCCTGTTTTGTAATGCACCTAATTCTCTTCTTATGTAGATTCTAATTCTATATCCACAAATATACATTTTCGAATTGTAAACCTGTTTTGTAGTATTTCTACAAGAGATAAAAAATTATTTACTTACAGTTTCAGTTTTCACCTGTACAATTTGCACTGCCTACAAAATTTCTACTGTATTTAATTTTTAATTTTTATTATTCTGTATAATGCCCATTATGTTTCTATTTTGAGCTATGGTACTGGTTGTTCGTGTTTTCTCTCTTTCTCTCTATAACTGTTATTTTTAATTATTGTGTTCTAATTTGTACCATAGTGTAAACTAAATGTTCAAATAAAGCATAAAAAAAAAAGCTTTGATGCTGTTGAACATTATTTTGATTTTTTGGCCCTTAAAAAAAATTGGTTTCGGTAACTGCTTCATTAAGACTATTCAAACATAAAATGTGTTTATTTGAGTTGTACTATTTTTGAGGTGCATGAAATGTGTTTTAAAGTTCTAAGATATTTGAGTCATATTTATTTACACTTTTGTAAAGGTGTAAATGTTTTATTAAATGTTTTATTTATTACAATATTATCACTATGATGTTTGCATGAATTGGATTGTGATGTGCATGACTATTTAAGGTGATTATTTATTTGAAACTTCTATTTTTGTTGTCTATTAATGAACAATGTTTGCTATGTATTTGTTTTAGTTTTCAGTTTGTTTATTAAAATAATTAAAAATGTAAACGCAGGAACAATAAACTGGCAGGGAGGGGGAAAACAAACATTAAAGAACTTACCTCATAAATATTTAATCACAAATAGAGTAAAATACATTTATTTCAAACTCATTTATAAAAACTGCCCCAGAAACCATTTCCTTGTAAACAGATTCAACGGTGATATTTTGTGGTCTACACACAGAAACCTTTTTTCATTAGTTTTGGAGTTGTTCTTATTCAACCAGATTGTGATCAGATTTCTGCTCGCTTGTTAGAGATCATAACATGCAGGGACACTGTAACTGATAAAAATAAAAAGGGAGAAATTGGGCAGCCCTGCCTATCACCACACAGTATATCAAATCTATTAGAAGTATCAAAATTAATAACAACGGAACTATTAATTCCTTTATAAAACATAGCATTAGTGTCAACAAAGGTATTGCCAAAACCAAACAACTCAAGAGATTTTAAAAGCAACTGGTGCTCAATCGAGAAAAAGGATCAGACTATTTGAGTGCACAGAATCAGCAAAGTCAAGCAAATCCAAGATTAATCTTATATTGTTGGATATATATGACGGCCCTTTGAAAAACCAGATTGCGTTTCAGAAATGATAGAGTCAAGATTCATTTTTTATCTATTGGCATGCAAGCCAGGATTTTATAATCTGCAGTTAAGAGCGCAATGGGGCGCCAATTATCAATTGAAATAATATTATTATTATTATTAATAACCTTTATTAGGTGTATGGATGAGAGAAATCATCCCTTGATTCATGATCACGGTCATCTCTCTTTGAATGATGCATTCTTTGTACATTTTTATTAAAGGGCTTTTAATAGTATCCCAAAAGTGAGTGTAAAATTCAACGGAAAGGCCGTCGATGCAGGAGATTTGCTTTTTTCATTTTAACTCAGACTCACAATCTTCATCAATAGCAGGGATACGACACAGTATTTTATCAATACAGCTTTCACAACTATTAACATCAAATTTGGAAGAGTAATAAAAATGTGCAATAAATTTAGATATCTGAACTATCTGTTACGATCAATATTAAGAGCTGAAAGAGATTTTTTCTTGCCATTTCTCTTTTTAAGCACAAAGAAATAGCTACTTTCACCTTCTTCTAGCCATTTGGCTCTGGATAAATGCCCCTTTGGCTAACTCTAAATAAAGTTCATTCATTTGGAAATGAATCTTATCCAATATTCTCTTTCGATGATAACTCATTTAATCGACAAAGCAGATTAGATTCAACTTGAAGTCTAGAGGCTTTTAATGAATCTGGTTTCCTATCTTTCTTTACAGCCGTTATGCACATTAGGAAATAGTTATTTTGCAAGGTTAATTATGCTATCATTAAATTTATTATCCTTCAGTAGAGCATTCTGAAGGATGTGATTACTCCAGTAATTTTCTGATTTATAATTAGGATGCAAACCAACAAGATTTATTAAAATAACGTGATATGTAGCCCCTGGAATGTGAATTTTACGAGGGGAACCCTGCCAAAAACCAGAGGCGGACAGTAACTAAGTACATTTACTTGAGTATTGTACTTAAGTACACTTTTTGAGTATTACTTTTGGTACTTAAGTACTTTTAAAAGCAAGTACTTCTGTACTTTTACTTAAGTAAAAATCTGTCTTTACAACTTTTACTTGTAATGGAGTAATGTTTGACCAGCAGTATCTGTGCTTTCACTCAAGTAATGGAGTTGAGTACTTTGTCCGCCTCTGCCAAAAACATGTATTTTACCCCCCGGGAATGCGATTGGGCTAATTTCCGACTAGTTTTGAGTTGCAATTGGGCAGGTTTTGTTGTGAAAACCTGGCAACCCTGGTCAAGATCTACCTGTCATCATTTTGATCCCAGCACTTTTACTATATCCCCTTTAAATCGCTTTAAATGCATGTACAAAGGTCGCGACCCCAGCAGAATGGTTACTGCCATGACTGCACAAAATTTCCCCATTGTGTCTTCCAAATTTCTCCAGAATGTGTTTCCTGCAGAACAATTAAATCAACATCACTTCTCTTACAAAATAAGAAAACTGATTTTTTTTTTTAAATCTCAAATTTGTTTTTTTTACTGAAGAAATGTTTGACCATTACAAAAAAAATGTACAATTAAGTCCACATACACAAGAAAGAAGAACAATCTTAATCTGTCAAACAGCATTAAAGAGAGGAGAGAAAGAATAACTGAATAAAAAAAAAAAAAATAAATAAAAATATATATACATATATATATATAAAATAATAAATAAAAAAAACACATACATATAAACAACTAAACAATAGTTCAAATGATCTTCCTTCTTCCTAAGGACAAAATCAAGGACTACAGTGGAGGAACTATACAAGAAAAAATTAAATCTAACAGTATGCCATTTTTTTGTTAAATCCATAGACTGTAAAAAATCTCAAAATTTGACATAAACATTAATTTAACCGTTGACGTATTAATGAGGTCCTATCGCAGTGAAGGAAAACGCCCAACGACGTATTCGGGAACCAATCGGAACGCTAGAAAAGCCCCTGGCGGCCAATCAGAGCGGAGTATCCGCTGCGACTGTCCAATCAGCGGCGAGCCGGCTCTCGGTGCCTGATGTGAGGAAGGCTGAAGTGAAAACAACTGTGGCTCAGGGTGAGACTCTGAAGGCCGACGGCTTCTCGTTTCCTCCCGAGATTCCCTTATTTAATTACTTCAACATCCCTGGCCCACATGTAACGTTACGTCTCAAAGTAATCGGTCGATAGAAGGTGGATATTCGTGGAAAGCTGACCAGAAATCCGTGCGAGAACCGAGTGAAGAAGCAGACATGGACGAAAAGGCGTTTTCGAAAGAGCTCGATCAGTGGATTGAACAGCTCAATGAATGCAAACAGCTGTCGGAAAACCAAGTCAAGAGCCTCTGCGAGAAGGTATGTGTGTGAAATAAAGCACCAACATCGCCTTTCAGAGTTTATTTTATTGTTCCGCGTTAGCCGCCGAGTTAACGTTAACGTTACAAGATGGCGGCATTTCAAACGGACCCTTCCCTCACAAGAAACTACGATCGTTCTTAATCTCCTGACACAACACAACACAACACAAGCCAACATGTCTTGCGTAAATCTTTTATACAATCACTTGTGGTGGATATCGAGTTGGTTTATGGATTACAGTAGGCTGGAAGCTACAGTACTAATCAATCAAGCAGCAAACCGTGACTTATTAGCACTAAATCTTCTGATCTGCTAAAAACACAAGTGTATGTGTGTTGTGGAGAGTTTCTACATGTATAGAAGTTTATTTGAATGCAGCTGTTTTCTCATCACTGTCCGCTCTTAAAATGGCGCCTGAGTGACTGGCCTTCATCTGATGCTACAGATCTCACTCCTGTTCGGTGTTGCTAACTCTCACAAGATAAACAAGCGACCGCAGCCTCAAAAACAAGCCCTATAGTATTATTTAGGGCTGTCACCAGGGCTGGACTGGGGTTAAAGTTCGTCCCTGGACAAATCCAGCCCAGGAGTCCCCCGTGAATGTAGCGCTGGGTGATAGTTGAAGGCAATTGGAGTAAGTGAATTAATCATTATAACAGGACAGAAACAAACAATGATAGATATTGCTAGGGATGTAACATTTCACGATACGATTTTCTCACTTTTTTTTAATAAAAAAAGACAAATTATAAATGAAAAGATATCCTTTTATTATTGCTTGGACAAAATGCTGAACATTTCTTTGTGAAATTGAAATATGTTAAAAAACAAAACTGAAATGGAATTTTCAAACAACCCCCAAAACAAATAAATTAAGAAATCAACAAGAAATCTCTTCATATAAACAAACTAAGGCTTTGACCTGATGTGACATGACATGTGGCCAAGTATGGTGACCCATACTCGGAATTAGTGCTCTGCATTTATCCCATCCAAAGTGCACACACACAGCAGTGAACACACACACACACACACACCCGGAGCAGTGGGCAGCCATTGATGCTGTGGAACAGTTGGGGATTCGGTGCCTTGCTCAAGAGCACCTCAGTCGTGGTATCGAAGGTGGAAGAGAGCGCTGTACATTCACTCCCCCCACCTACAATCCCTGCCGGTACGAGACTCGAACCCGCAACCTTTGGGTTACGAGTCCGACTCTAACCATTAGGCCACGACTTCCTTCCTTGCCTGTGCTCGTTCCATTCAGTTAGAGGCAAACACTGGATTTTAATCACAATTCAAACAAAGATGTCGCATACATGCTGCATGAGCAGTGTTTAATATAAATTAGATTGTGTAATTTTGAAATTTGAAGCAAAAACAGAATTGTCTGACTTTAACTTTGTGCAGTTATGCTACATAAAACACCTCAACGAGACAAAAACAGTAGACAGGCGCAGATTCACTCTCAGACAGCAGGTGGCGTCAGAATACATTGTTTCCATGGTTACTCCTGTAAAAGCAGCGCTGCGCTTATAAACACTGCTTTAAAGGGGTCATATGATGCTTTTTTAAAAAAGGAAAACTTGAAATCGCATCATATGACCCCTTTAATATGCATTATACAGAGACGAGATGAAAAGAAAAAAACATCTGAACTTTTATGAAGACAGTCAGTTCCCCTCAGAGACACATTCATATAAACTCCCACGCTCAACTGTATCACAATTCGTTTAACATCTCAACTGATTTGAATCATCACATATTTGTATCGATTTCAACCGGCTCGCGGTGCATCGTTACATCCCTACATATTACTGAATTCACGGCAAATGCAACAGACTTAATAATGCATTTTTGTCACACAGAAATGCACTTGACAGTAAAGCATTGATTTTGAGCTAGAATGCAGGAAATGCATTGCTATTAAATTCTGTCATCATTTCCTCGCCCTCATGTCATTCCAAACCTGTATGACTGACTTCTGTGGAACACAAAAGAGATTTTGTAGAATGTTACCAAACCATTTTGGTTACCCTTGATTTCTTTTATGTTCCACAGAAGAAAGAAATTCTTACAGGTTTGGAATGACATGATGTTGAGTAAATGATGACAATTTAAATTTTTGGGTGAACTGTCCCTTTAAGAACTTTAACATGTGTAATTAGTAAACACCTAATTTATATAAGACACTGATATTTATCTTTAATCAGGCTCTCACTGAATTAATTAGAACTAAACATCTAAAGAGAAAGAAGTTCTTGCTTAAAATTAGTATTAGTAAGATAGTGGTCACAAGAAGTAAAACCATGGTCCTCATTACCGTGGTAATATGGTTTTAAAATAAGTAATACAACCCTCTACATTGCGAGTAAATCTTCACTCTGGGCGACTAAATAATGTCTGTCGTTAGCCATTGGCTAATAAATGTTGTGTGCGTTCTGTCACAGTTTAAACTGCCCTGTCAATCATTTTATCACAGTTAACATCATCCACATTGTTTAATTTAATTTCCTACCATACTGGAGAGAAATGAAGAGGCATGTTGATCTGCCAGTCGTGGGTCCTTCATGCCGAGAACTGCATTTAAAAGTTAATAACCAGACATATCTATATAAAAGTTCACAATGTTGCTGCAGATTAAATATAACCCTCAGGTTAGATATAATTTATCACTCAATCCCCTTTCTCTACCTGTCCGTCAGTCTCTCATATCCGCCATGTTTGTAGTTTTAACACTTTTTATGCATGTTTGTAGTTCTAATCGAATCCTCGTCCAACCTGCGATTCACAAGTGTGGATTAGGGCTGAATGTTAATACAGATTTCACAATCTGATTCTGATTCACAAGCACTTGATTTGAGATCTCAATTCATTATCAATTAATTTAGAACATTTTCAGGTAAATGTCAGTTTTTCTCAAGAAAAACAATGTCTCTGGAGGTTAAAATTAACAACAGTCCAAACACATTAAATTCAGTTGCTATTTATTTTTCTATATAATAATTCAAAACGCTGTATGCAAACATTTCAGTTGCATATACAATAGTTTTCATAACTAGTCTTTGTGACAGGTATAGTCAAACATGCCTTAAGTAAAAAAAAAAAAACAGAATATTTAATATGCAAAGCTAGACTATTCTAATCAAACAGTTGCACCAGTTTACATTTTCCATCTGAAGAAAGAAATTAATATCCTAATGGTTTTAACTCCCAATGTTGACTTTTGAAAAGAAACCTCGAATAAAGACGTGCAATCAAGAAAAACAGATATTTGGCAAAACTTACAGAAATAAGGATGAATGATGCTTTAGTTGTGTAGTATTAAAAACTTAAGGTAACTACTGGTCTATTTAACATAAAATTATAAATTTTTGACCCGTATTTTAAGCACTTGAGGGTGTGTCTTGTATGCTTGCTTTATTAAACGTCACCAGAGAATTCCAATAAGCTGCTCTAAAATGAGTGTAAACCACAGCTTCATGTGGCTTATTGCTTTTAAAGCGTTCCTAAATAAGCCTGACATGGTTTCACGAAATAAACCCACAGTAATACTGACATAATAAGGTCAGGTGTGTGTTTATAGAGTGTTTTATAAAGTGGCTCAGGCAATTATAATCAAGGACTGTCATAATAATAATGCTGGTTTTTCTATGCATCTGCTACTTTGGCTCAAAGTAAGAGAATCAAGAGAATCCTTGAACACATTTGGCTTTTGACGCACAATGTCAGGGTCCAAAATGAACACCCGAGCAGCAGATGTGGACAGGTGTCTGAATTTATATATGTGCGCTAGGGCTGCACGATATAGCGAAATAACACAAATGTAAATATTGCGATATGCATATCGCAACGTCGTGTGATATCTGAATCATTTTAATAATAGGCTACTTAAATTGGGGCTTATTGCTTTATTTTATTTGTTCTCTGCAGTCTAAAGAAATCCTGACCAAGGAGTCTAATGTGCAGGAAGTGAGATGTCCGGTCACCGTGTGTGGAGATGTACACGGCCAGTTTCATGACCTTATGGAGCTCTTCAGAATCGGAGGAAAGTCACCAGACACGAACTACTTGTTCATGGGAGATTATGTTGACCGAGGCTATTACTCTGTGGAAACAGTCACACTGCTCGTTGCTCTCAAGGTGAGTTTTGATAGACTGGAAGTCAATGGCTACCGGCAACTGTTTGGTTACCATCGTTCTTCAAAATATCTTATATATAGTCTTATAGTCGTGTCACAACATTTAGAAGGTTTCAACTACTAATTCATTCAGAATCAGAATGAGTTTTATTCGCCAAGTCTGTGCAAACACACAAGGAATTTGTTGTGTTTTTTTAGGAGCTCTTAGTACAAACATGCATATATGACATTGAGAACCGAAAGAACTTTTAAATAAGTAAGACTACGGGGGAAAAAACTATAAATAATAATAATGTGGTATACATCTGGAACAGAAGATTTATGCTCAGATTTGTGCATTATTTACTATGGAAGCCCTTTTCCGCCACTGAATAAAAAATAATAAAGGTAATTGCGACTTTTTATCTCACAATTCTGACTTTTGTTTTCTCATAATTGCGTGATATTATAAACTCGCAATTCTGAGAAAAAGTCAAAATTGTAAGAAAATAAAGTCAGAATTGTGAGATATAAACTCGCAATTGCGAGAAAAAATCTCTCGCAATTCATCTCGCAATTCAGATGCTATAACTCGCAATTGTGAGTTTATATCACGCAATTCTGAGAAAAAAACCTTACCTAGAAACCTCGCAATAACCTTTCTTTTTTTTTTTTTTTTTTTATTCAGTGGCGGAAACGGGCTTCCGTAATTTACTGTATACAGCTGTATAAATAAAAATATGTATAGGCCTATGTATTTACATAATACTTGAGAGAGAGGCAATAATTAGTTATTAGAGAATGAATTACAGAAGATAGGTGGTAATTTCTGTGTTAGCTGGAGATGGCATGGGGGGAAAACTGTTTTTATGCCTAGATGTTCTAGTGCACCGAAGTGCAAGCAGGTTGTGTCCAGGGTGAGGGGTCTGTGATCCTGAAGGTTGGGCAGGTGCACACCAATGATCCTTTCAGCTGTCCTGACAGTCCGTTGCAGTCGTCTTAAATCTGATTTGCTGGTTGACCCAAAGCAGACAGTTATAGAAGAGCACAGAACCGACTCAATAACAGCCAAGTAAAACCGTGTCATCTGCGCCTGAGGAAGGTTGAACTCTTTCAGTTGATGAAGGAAGTACAACAGTGACTCAGATCTGCGCCTGAGGAAGGTTGAACTCTTTCAGTTGATGAAGGAAGTACAACCTCTGAGTCATTGTGATCGTCCCACTTCAGAAGCTAAAGTTAGTATTTGTGTGTAAAATCACTGTTTATTTATTTGTTTTACCTGGTTAGCGTCTCGTGTTGCTCTGAGGATTATTTTAATACCTTTGCATCATTTATGCAATTTTTTTGTGCTTATTTGACCACTGTTTTATGATTTAAAAAGTTACAGTGACAGTAATTATCATGCTAAATCATACAGGTTTTTTTGTCATTATTTCATATTGGAAAAAAAGGAAACGTACTTGTTCAGTTGCATCTGCCTCCATTTATTTGTGATCACAGAACTTTAATCCAAAAGCGTAAACATTTAGAAAAATACTGATACTTTCCCATGTATTTACATTTAGAAATAATGATTAATTTCTATAAATTTTGCACCAATTAATGCGATCCGAGAAGGTTTGAGCGCTCTCTCCCACCTCACTGTATTGTTATCCTTTTAGCCAGAGCAACAGAGTTATGATGTGATTTATGACACCAAATATCGATATCAGGAAGTTCAGTGGCATCAGAGCATTGAAATATGAAACGAAAAACTTACACTGACAATATCATTTTTCTGTGTTCTTTGAGCAGTCTCTTGTAATTTTATAAGAATAATTAGTATCTATTATGGCAATGGTTAGCATGCATAGCCTTTAGTGTACTTGATGAGGATATTGCTTTTGAATAAACTATATTTACAGAACAATTTGAATAAAGTCTGTCAAAAAGGGACGTGTAACTTGTCTGAAGGACTGCTGGATGTCGAGTCCTGTGGTCTGGGCTCATACTCTCAAGTCTCGAGACCACGTCCGATTAGTCTTTATGCAGGTTGACAGCCTAGTTTTATTTTGTATATTTTTCTAATCATCGGTTATGTCTTCAAATTCTAGGTAAGGTACCGTGAACGCATTACAATACTTCGAGGGAACCACGAAAGCAGACAGATCACACAAGTGTACGGCTTTTATGACGAATGCTTACGGAAATACGGCAATGCAAATGTTTGGAAATACTTCACAGACCTCTTCGATTACCTTCCTCTTACTGCATTGGTAGATGGTCAGGTAGGTGGATCTTCTCTCTGCTGAAGCTCAACTGTGTGATGTGTTTTGATATTAAAAGACTTATGACAATATGCATTCAAGTGTATATTTAAGTCTTTCATAGTAGGATAACTGAACATTTCACCTCTGTGTCTCTAGAGCACTGTAATCCATTTGATCAGTTTGTTTAAATCCAGCTTGCTTGTCATTATTTATGCGCTGCTGTTTGGTGACGTTAGTGAAAGTAGTTGAAGTAAACTATGGTCCTATTCATTTTATTTTTTTTACATTTTCTGGACTTGATTTTAGTTAAATTTGGCAATCAAAATGCATTTCTAATGAATTGAAATCATGAAACCTATACAGTTAAACAACGGTCTATTAAAAGTTGAACATTTTAGAGCCCTATGAAATATGTTTTATTTTTTCTTCAAATTCTGTTTTCAGTTTTATTTTTTCTGGGTTTTATTTGAATGGTTTAATTAAAATTTAATAATCAAAAAGCAGGTCTAATCAATGAATTAATAAAAACAACATCATTTATTATTTTATTATAATAATAAAATAAAATAAAAATTTTATTTGTATTTTTTTATAATAATCGGGCCCCACAAAATGTTGTGTTTTTCAGAATATTAAAAGTAATCAAACGAAGGCATAAAACATTAAAGAGTTAATGAATCTTTTAGTCAAATGGAAATTAAACCATTTCATTTTTTGGCAAACAAAAATGATTTACTGTTAAAATCATAGGGCCCTCAGTAAACCCTTCAATAAGTTATTGTGACGGTTGCATCTTTATTTATATATTTTTTCCTTGTAGATCTTCTGTCTTCATGGAGGATTGTCACCGTCCATAGACACTCTTGATCACATCAGAGCGCTGGATCGTTTACAGGAAGTTCCTCACGAGGTACTGGACATAGATAATCCCATCATGTCATTTCTTTATAGAAGTGACTGTTTTAGCAGCAAACTATGACAGTTGCATCCCTACTTTGAGTTTTGCATGTGCAGTTTGAGTCAAATGGCAAAATAAAGCTAAAACAAAATGCTATAAACCGCACTAATGGCTCTGTTTGTCTGTGGTTTTCCTCAGGGCCCCATGTGTGATTTATTGTGGTCTGACCCAGATGACCGTGGAGGTTGGGGTATTTCTCCTAGAGGTGCAGGCTACACCTTTGGGCAGGACATATCCGAGACGTTCAACCACGCTAACGGCCTTACGCTGGTCTCTAGAGCTCACCAGCTAGTGATGGAGGTGGGAGCATCTCTTGATGCCACAATAGGCTCATAATCTTCTTTACTTTGAAGTTAGGTACATGAACATTGCTGCTGAATGGGACACGCGTCCGATTTCTTTTGGCACGGCCCTGTGTTATCTTAAAAAATTATATGTGGACACAAAGTGGACGATATTTGATTTTATTACTTTGCTGGCAGAACAGTCAGGTCACACATCTTCAGATCTCGACAGTGTGAGCGTTTCACTCGCGACTAAAAGAAGTGTGATCTGTAAAGAGTGTTTAGGAGCTTGTGTCCCTTTATAAAATATAAGGTCCTTATCCTAAGTGGTATAGCAAACAGCTTTTAAGAGGCCTTAAATTTGGGAAGAGAAAAGCAGGAATCACAATATTACGGTTACACTTAAAGGCTATGATTTGATTAAATAAATGAGAGCTGCACAGTCCAAGTCGGAATGAGGCACTGTTCACAGGCTTACTTTTTCAGAGCAGTTCACAATCAATGAATAATGCGCATTTATGCCAGTATTCATGTGAGTAATGATGCTGAAAATTCAGCTTTGCATCACAGATATATATTATATTTTAAAGTATATTAAAATGGAAACCCATTATTTTAAATTGTAATAATATTTCACAATATTACTGTTTTTTCTGTATTTTTGATCAAATGAATGCAGCCTTGATGAGACTTTTAAAAATCAGTGATTCTAAAACGACACTGTTTCGTCTCCTAGGGATACAACTGGTGCCATGATCGCAACGTGGTAACGATTTTCAGCGCGCCCAACTACTGCTACCGCTGTGGGAATCAGGCAGCCATCATGGAACTCGACGACACCCTCAAGTACTCCTTGTAAGTTGAAAAGCTTGATGGAATTGGATGCAGATACACATGCAGCAGATGAGCATCTCTGATCTGTCGTGTTGTGTGATTTCAGCCTGCAGTTTGACCCCGCGCCTCGCAGAGGAGAGCCGCATGTGACTCGCCGTACCCCTGACTACTTCCTGTGAATATAGTATTGCCATGATATTATAATCCTCATCATTCAGTTTAAAATAAGGGGAGAGGAATGGGCAACAGTATATAAAAAGATAAGAGAAAACTGATCCAGTGAGAAACGTCTGTGGACCAAAAGGTGTGTGCCATATCCAAACCGATCCAGGAGCACCAGATATCAGCCGCCTGTCCTCCGTTCCTGTCTGCTCTTGCTTCTGTCCTCCGCTCTTTAGATGAACACAGGCTGTGAAACCCTTCTGAACACACGGTCTCCTTCATGAACCCTGTTTGTGTTCTTCTTTTTCTTTTTTTATGTCTGTTTGCACTTTTTTTTTTTTTTCAACAGAACAAGGTCAGTTTTACAGTTTATTTCCATGTTCTACGGGTGATTCGATGCTTTTATATCCCAACAAGCAGGCTATAATCTTTCCTACAATGAACATGTTAAACAAATGCCAACTATTGATATGCGGCAGACTAAGATGGCATGCTGTCGTCTGAGTCCTGGAATAGCTTCATATGATGGCTCTGTGTCTGTATAAAGGGTACCAGTTCAAGAATAAAGATGGATATTGCTCCTGTGTCTTGTGTGCTGCTCTTCCTGAATCCTCAATCGATCCAAGCATAGACTTTAGTCAGGGTTGCACAAGGGCTGGGTGATAAAACTATAGCATATCGAGATAAAATTTATGTTGATAACAATGATAAACTCTGGACATTTTTACTGGATATGGATTAATCTAACAGCAGAAATAAATGCAACAACAGCCAGTCAGTGCATGCGTCTAATAAATCTGCGTGTCTCTGTGAATGAATGTGAATGGATTCGTCTGATACTCGAACTCAAACACGTGCGACTCGCTGTGATTTCAGCGCCTGTGTCTCAATATATGAGGATATGAACACATGAACTTCTTCTCCAGAGATGCTCTGAGTCTCTTCAGAAGCCTTACACCGCTTCATCTGAGAAAAACTACCGTCAAGACACTGAAACTGAAAGACCTTCACCCGTCAAAATAAAAAGTGGTTTAACTTGAGGAAATTATGACAAAAATATATTACTATTGTATACTAAAATATAATTCTCACAGTAATAATTTTTAAGGAAAATCATACAACCAAGGTATTTTTTTTTTCATATATACAATTCTTTTGTGCAGCATCTTGCTTCACAATAAAATGCAATGTTTTGTTGTAAATTAATAAAATTTGATTACATTTTAAAATAATGATCAAACTGTTAAAGTTTTAACCATTTCATTAGACACTGTTTTTATGATAATTTTGTACTGAATCATAAAACACAGAATCTGGAAATAATGAAATGCAAAACAGAATTTAAGGCAAAATCAAACACATTTCATGGGGCCCCAAATTAAAAGGTATCTTAATACGTGGAGTTAAATTGTGAACAAAAAGTTCTGTTTGCATTCATTCTCAAGGTCTAACAAACATGGAAAATATTTCCTTCCCCATTATCAGTTAATGAATCATCATATGATATGGGGAAAATATTGTGATAATATTTTTGGCCATATCACCCCCAGCCCTGTTGAATGAAAACGAGGCTGTGAGGGACTGAAGTACAGTGTGTTCAAATGGTTGTACTGTTGTTTAACATATCAATATATATATAATATGCAAAAACTCCATAAAACAGTGAAGTCATTAGAGGTGAAAATGACATGATCTAAGACCTTTATACAGTGCGTGCCATTGAATATGGCGTTTAAGCTGATGAGGTGTATTGCTGTTACTGCGTCTCTAAAGTCAAGTCAGTTCTGTAGCTCTTCATAGAATACAGATTGTTTTAAAGCAGCTTAATGTAAATGTGAAAATTATCAATTATGAAATGAATTCAACATCAGCTACAGAAGACAGTGCCATTGGGTCATTATTCAGCTCAATTTAGCTCAAATTCTGTTCCCATCCCATAGTGTCAGTGCATTAAATCAATACAATTACTGAATATGAATTGCCTTTTAAACCTTTAACCCTCTGTTACACAACTGAACAAATCAGGAAGGAGAAGGAAAACTTGTCTAATATATTAAATACATAAATAGAGTATACACCTTATTTAGATTAATTTTAATAAATCAAATATATAATTAAATAAATAAATATAAACAAAGTGTTTCTCCCCACAAAATTATGTATTTGGATGTTATCAGAAAAAATTAATTGTGTATAAAATAAATACAGTATATATATATTAATTCATAATGTCAATATATAATGTAATATTTTTTAGTTTTTTTAATAACACAGCTATGTCATAATTATTCAACCCCTATTCAACATTGCTGTCCTTTAGTCAATTATGTGTGGTGGGGAACAAAATTGACTTGAAACACAATTAAGCCTTTAGAAACTTTATTAGAAAACAGAAGCTGTTTACACATACATACAATTAGCCCATGCATGTGCTGAAGTTGAGTAGAAAATATAACATTCAACAGAACTCTCACAAATGCTATAGAGAAGAAATAGTTGTATTAAATTAGAATAAATTTGATGGCAACTGTATGTCATAAAATACAAATACAAAAACAAGAGGACAGTGATGTAGAATTATGGGAAAAGATGCAGCATCACAACCTGGAATGCTAAAATTCAGAACTCGTAGAATTAAAACAAGTAGGTTTTGAGGAGTATTTATCTAAATATTTAGTCCCAGTGATGTGTTGCCAGGTCCTCGGTTTTACCGCGGAATTGGGCTACTTTAATACAGTTGCCGCGGGTTGAAGCGACCACAATAACTTGATATTTAGCTCCTGGAATGCGACTTTTCCCAGGGGAAACCTACCAAAAACGTGTGTTTACGTGTATTTATTTACCCCTCGCCCCGGAACGCGATTGGGATAGTTTTGAGCAGCAATTGGGCGGGGTTTGTTGTGAAAACCTGGCAACCCTGATCTCAGTCTCATAAGGCCTTATTGACGTTGAGTTTAATACTTTCGTCGCTCTCAGTAACGGTAAGAACGGGACAAAATCTGCCACATGAGCGTGTCATATGCTATATATTGACAGCGAAGAGTCGCAGCGGGCGAAATATTGTGTGAAATTAAGTTTTAACCCGCTTGAGGCGATGAATACAGCGGTTGCTATGAGAGGCCTATAGCCGCGCGGCTAACGTTAGCTTAGCATCACAAACAGCCCGTGCTTTATGTTTCTGTGCTGTTAAAGTACGTTGAATGAAACACTGCGACAGTAATAGTCTTGATGCTTAGAGGGTGTTAAGCGTGATGTATGAACATGCTGGAGAAGTGCACTTGTTAGGGAATCTCGCTGTAGCGCTCTGTGTGCTTCGACTGGAGCGGGTTTCTTGATTTTCTCACTTCCATTCTATGGCAGCCAGGACAAATGCCGTAAAGGGTGTGTCGTAGTGATGACGCACGTTATCGTTAACGTTATCGGTGTTTTGAAGGCAGATCAACGTTCACAACGAAAAAATATGTGCAAACTGTAAAGAAGCAGAGATCAGGGAGCTCCTCACTATCCTTGCTGAAGCTGAGATCGTTCGCCATCTTATGCCTAGTTCACACTACAGGATTTTAAGCCCGATTTGCAAGTTAACGAGCTTGCCGACAGGTCGGGCTGTGATTGGGGGAAAATCAGCGTGTGATCAGTGCTCGGCAATCTTTATGTGTGAACTACTCAACAATGCATCAAAGAGGCTCGCTGACACGTCGCCGACACCTTGCAGACGCCAAACAAATATCTTAAGGCATGAGTTGAGGTCAGTGGAAGAAAAACAGCAGCAGCAACACGGCTTTAAGAAAAGTGTTGACACAAGAAATGGAGCAATTTTTTCATCGCACAAAAAGCTTGCAGCACTGATTTCTTCCCGATGTTCATTTTCAAATAAACAACTCCTGTTTCACTTGTTGTTTCGCGTCATTCCCGTTCAACTTCTCGCGTGTGTTTTCTGACTAAACGTGGTTTGGGGACGGGTGCATGGGAGGGCTGCAAGAAAAAAGCCAGTCCTCAAGAAAGACCAAATGCAGTCACAACTGAGCTTTGCCAAAACACACCTTAAAGAGTCTGAGGCAGATGAAACTAATGCCTAGTTCACACTACAGGATTTTAAGCCCGATTTGCAAGTTAACGAGCTTGCCGACAGGTCGGGCTGTGATTGGGGGAAAATCAGCGTGTGATCAGTGCTCGGCAATCTTTATGTGTGAACTACTCAACAATGCATCAAAGAGGCTCGCTGACACGTCGCCGACACCTTGCAGACGCCAAACAAATATCTTGCATGCTAAATATCTGGACCGGTCGGCCGACTCGACATCACGTGGTGTCAGGGGTCGTGACGAGCTACAGCCAATGAGAGAGCAAGCATGGGTTGAGTCAGTGGAAGAAAAACAGCAGCAGTAACACGGCTTTAAGGAAAGTTTGGATACAAGAAATGGAGCGAATTTTTTCAATGCGCAAACAGCTTGCAGCACTAATTTCTTCCCGATGTTCATTTTCAAATAAACAACTCCTGTTTCATTTATTGTTTCGAGTCATTCCCGTTCAACTTCTCGTGTGTGTTTTCATGACAAAACGTGGTTTGGGGACGGGATAGAGTCGTTGGGTGACAGAGTTGTTGTCAGCTCGTGTAGTGTGACCCCCTGTTGCGGTAGTGTGACGTAGTGTCACGTAGTGTGAACACCCCAACAAATCTGCCGACGTTTTAAGTCGTGTAGTGTGAACTATGCTTAAAATTTAATTATTTTCCTCAACATTAAACGATAAGTCTGGCGGAAGTCCAGTCCAGCTCACCATCCAAATAACAGCATTCCTGCAGTAAAGCATGGAGATGGTAATATTGTCTTATGGGGGTGTTTCTCTGCAGCAGAAGTGAAAAAGAAGTGAAGTGAAAGTGACATGTGGCCAAGTATGGTGATACCTTCCAACATGACAATGACCCAAAGCACACAGCAGAACTGAGCACACAGTGATTGAAGGAGAAAAAAGTGAATGTCCTTGCATGGCCTCGTCAGAGTCCAGACTTAAACCCCACTGAAAATCTGTGCAATGACCTGAAGACAGCAGTCCACAAACGCTCACCATCAAATTAACTGAACTTGAGCAGTTCTGCAAAGAAGAGCGGGCAAATATTGCAAAGCCTAGATGTGCAAAGTCAGTAGAGACCAATCCCAACAGACTAAAGGCTGTAATTAAAGCAAAAAGTGGTTCAACAATTTGGATGTTATCAGAAACACACACACACATACATATATACTGGGCTGCGTTAATGCATGGGCTTGCCTGGGCTTAAAGGGGTCCTATTATGCTCTTTTACAAAGTCTTGTGATATCACAAATCCCGGAAAATATGCATTGTAGTCCAAACGAATAGTTCGTTGTAGTTTTTTTAAAAGTGATTTCTGTTAAATAAAATATCTCCTTTTGAAGTGGACTTTGAGCTTTGTAACTTTGCAGATCTTTTTTATGCTCAAACAGCAACATTACAGATTAACTCAAGTTTAAAAAGTGAAAAAGCATAATGGGACCCCTTTAAGGGGGTCCCGCGGTGATATCAGAAAATACTGTAACCGCAAATTACGCTTTATAGTTTTGCTTTGAATGCGTCGTTGCGAGTGTGCGAGCCTGTGCCAGAAGTGTCAATCAAACGCTTCCAAATATGAAAGAGAAATGTGAAAATGTGCCAAAAATAAAGTGGAAAGTCAGTCATATTTGTTACAAAATTTTTCCAAAGCTCACAACACATTTTAATGCAGGGCTAGGAGAAGATGCAGATCATGGCAAAGGTAGGTCATATGCTATCAGTAGCTAGATAGGCTACAGTAGACTATAATTAGTCAAATAATTAACTCTTTTTTCCATCATAACATAGTTGAGCTTGCAGTAGTTAGTTAGCTACACCACACTACAGCTGTGTAATGTAATCATTTCTATGACGCATCGAGATGCTGATGTGGACGATTCTGCATAAATGCAAATTAAATAGTCCTATCCTACATATTAATGTACTGTTTTATTATAAGAAAGTACTCTTGTTATAGGCTATATTAATAAAGAGAAGTTGCGTATGCCTTTGGAAGCAAAGCACTTAATAGCGTCTGATGTTTCCAGATACTCTTCTACCAGATAATACACTTCTTTGTAGCAAGATATTTGTGCACATTGCGTTTTTTTACGAAAAGAACATGCATGAATGAGAAAATAATGCGGGATGTGCTATAAGTGCAATAGGCTAAGCCACAAAAAAATATCTCAATGAGTTCATAATGCATTTAAACAAAAAACACAATTTAATGCCACACATTTTTATATAGAAATCTGTGTAAAATATGTCTGTGTAGTTCATGCACTGCACATTTGTGTATATTTGATATGACAGACCCTTCTGATGTTTTGTTAATGGCATTTATTACTACAAAATTAAAGGCTGACAACTTGTGCTTTGTGATTATTAAGATTGAGTGAATGTAGGCTGTAGTTCTCGTGGATGAAGGGCCCCTCAAGAGGTAAAGCCCAGGGGCCCCTTACAGTCTTAATGCAGCCCTGTGTCTGTGTGTATATATATATATATATATAAAGCTATTTTTCTCTCCTATATTTCACCAAAATATAGTTTGAGAGAGCTACACATCTCTGTATTGCAACAGAAAATAGCAAATGTTTCAGTGGTACTTGATGCATCACTTTCATCAGCTGTTTTGATTTTATGTTCTAAATAAATACAGTTGCATTAAAATATATTTAACTAGTTAATAGATGGATTTGAAAATACATTCACTTATGTCACATTTGAAGAAAAAACAGTAACACTTTATCTCAAGGACCAATTCTCACGTATTAAGAAGCACACATATTACTAGCATACATTTCTCCAAATCTGATGAAGAAACAAACTCATCTACATTTTGGATGGCCTTTGGGTGAGTAACATTTCAGCAAAATTTCAGTTTTGTGTGAACCATTCTAACAAAGTTAGAGTAAACACATTTTCTGAAAGAACAATTTAACTGAATTGTATACATGTTAAATCTGTATTCACAATAATGCCATTTTATTTGTTTTTAAAATGCTACATTGTTGCAATTACATATCAGGATACATTAGTGCTGCATGATTATGACAAAAATCATAATGGTCGATTATTCCCTTGAAACTGTAATTGCGATTATTAATTATGATGATCACAATTTACACTGAATGATGTTTTGCTTTATACCTTTGTTTGAAGCAAATGCATGCCACATTTTTATATGAAAATAAGCTGAAAACACTCAAAAAAAGTAAAAATGTGCATGGTATTATAATGTTATACCAAAACTAAAACAATGGAAAAAATCCTTTAGATAACATAGAAAGAAAAAAGCACGCAGAATAAGTGGACTTTTTTTATTGCGCCTTTGAACGATTACGTAATTGTGGCATCCATAATTGTTATCACGATTAGAACTTCGATTAATTGTGCAGCCCTATGATGCATCTGTGAGGACAATAGAAGCAATCGAACCAACAATATCTCTAGTCTCCGATATGGTAGGAAGTTAAATGAAATGAAATGTGGATGATGTGGATAAAAAAAATAAAAAAAAATTTAGTGATGGGAAGTCCGGTTCTTTTCCGCGAACCGGTTCTTTCGTACAGTTTGTTTTAATGAACCGGTTCAACGGTTCTTTTACGTCATCACGTAATGACGTCAATTCTATCGTCCCAATCCCCATCAGCTGCTCGAGCTCAGCGTGTTCCAGCGCTGTTGGAGGTACAGGAGAAACATATATATACTCCGGGATATTGGTTTATTTCGAGTCGTAGGGACGCTGTAAGGCATTTCTGAAAGTGAGAAACGTTAGAAAATTGTGTATCATTGCTGACTCGATATGCGAACTGTTTTGAACGATTCTATCCGATTTGATGAACCGGTTCACTAAAAAGAACCGGTTCAAAACAACGACATAAATGCATCGCTAGTCTCATTCAGGCCTTATTGACGTGGAGTTTAATACTTTCGTCGCTCTCAGTAACGGTAAGAACGGGACAAAATCTGCCACATGAGCGTGTCATATGCTATATATTGACAGCGAAGAGTCGCAGCGGGCGAAATATTGTGTGAAATTAAGTTTTAACCCGCTTGAGGCGATGAATACAGCGGTTGCTATGAGAGGCCTATAGCCGCGCGGCTAACGTTAGCTTAGCATCACAAACAGCCCGTGCTTTATGTTTCTGTGCTGTGTGTGTGTGTGTGTGTGTGTGTGTGTATGTGTATATATATGTGTGTGTGTGTGTGTGTGTGTATATATATAGGATGTGTGTATGTGTTGTGTGTAATCACAGCTGTGTTCTGCTCAGATCTGGGGATGGATGATGAAGGAGATGATGATCCGGTTCCTCTGCCCAATGTAAACGCGGCCATCCTGAAGAAGGTCAGACTTGTAAATTGCTATCATGCTTAATTGGAGTTTCGCATGAATGTAATATCCAGATGGTACATTAGGAAAGATAGATGGGTGACTCCCCTAAACGTATTTAGGTCTGATTTTACCCCAAGATAATAATTATAGCAACACTTTGCATACGTGTAATTCTGTGTCAACTCAACAACCAGAGGTCCACGGCTCAAATTTTTGATTTTGTCAATATTTTTTTAAAGAAATACATAAATGAAGAAAGCCAAAATATTAAATGTCATGGATGAATATTTACTGAGTAACCCACTATTTTGTAGAGGTCAAAGTCAATCTGTTGACTTTAGCAATCATTGTTGCATTATATGCCAATAGTCACCATTCACTATTTGATAGAGGGAAACAACTTACAGTTCTAGTTTCAGCATTATTTATTCTTCAGACATTGTTCTCTAAGTGCATTAAGTATCAGGTGTATATAAAGTGATCAACATTTGGTTTTCGACCACTGAAAATGGGTATTTTTCAACAATCTGGACCTGGAGCCACATTGAGATCCCCATATCTCTGGGAATGAACAATAATAAGGCCTTGGAAAAAGAATATTCCAAAAGAAAAGTTTATTAAGAACCAGAATCTAAAATCATAATGCAATATCTTTAATACTTCCTGAGTTACAGGTACGCAAACTTTGGAAAAAGAATATTTATGGCACTCGGACAGTTTTTTTTCTATACAATTGTTTTGATGGAGTTAAACAAGATACATTTCTAGTTTCAACATTATTTGTTCTTCAGATATTCTTCTTTAAAAGAAAAGAAATCTTAATGCAAAGTGACCCTCATTTGGTTTTTGACCACTGAAAAACGTGTACAATTGAACTATTTACTCTTGGAGCCATATTTAGATCCCAACATCTCTGGAACTGAACCAAATAGGGCCTTAAAAATGACGATGCCAAAAGGAAAGTTTGTTAAAACCCAAAATCTGAAAGGGCATTGAGACAACTTTAATACTTCTTGAATTACAGGCATGTAAACTGTGGAGAAAAAAACTTGAAAAGAGCTTTTTCCCATTTTTGAACGGCCACCATTGGCAAATAATGCAACAAAGATTGCTAAAGTCTGCATATTTTACTAATAGACCTATCAATCTCTGTGTAAAAATAACATCATGATGCTGCCATCTTTCTGAAGTCACCCCCCCCCTGTAATTTGGCTCCAAATCAAATCGCAGGTGAAAAAATGTAATTTTGACCCCCCTCTACAAAATTGTGGATTACTCTGTAAACGTGCATCTATGACTTTTAATATTTTGACTTTCATCACTATACATGTTTATCTTTCTTCAGAAAAAATATTGACAAAATAAAAACATTTAAGCCGGAGAAGTTTGGTCGATTAGACATTGAATGACCCATATAGAAATAGCTTGCATGTAAACAGCTGTAATGTATTCAAATAACACAAACTCCACTGTTGATGAATATTGAGCAATGTGGTTTATGTATCAAAGTGCATTATAACATTATTTTCATGCTAGTTCTCATTACTGTAATGTGACTGGATTTTGTTTGTCTCATTGCTCAATATTCCCAGTTACGCGAAATATTTAAAGCGTATTATATATAGGCCCGGTTTCACAGACGGGGCTTAGACTAAGCCAGGATTAGATCTAGAGATGCACCGATCGATCGGCCAGGGATCGGAATCGGCCGATTTTCCTCATGATCGGCCCGGATCGGTGATCGGCCGGTCAGTCTCACTTCTTTCCGATTTCGAGTCGATTCGTTTTGTTCCCAGCGGCACAGGCAATAACATCAGCCGCGCATTCTCGCTCTCATCTCTCCGACGACCCCTTCTCTCTCACACATGTCTCACTCGCTCCGATTAAATAGTGCTTGTATTGCGCATTATAGTAATTCCTGCAGGTTTCACGCTTACACCAAACGCACGGCGCACCACCACTGATCTATATTAGTGGAGCGCACAAGCCACGCTCAGTCTCAAACAGCTTGTGAGCCACAAATACCAAAATGAGTGGCTAACTGCGCTAAAATGTTCAAATACATGCAAAATTATGTCAAAAAACAGTCAGTTTTGGAACGTTAAATAGTTGAGAAAGAGAAACAGTATATTGGGTCCGTGGATAAACTCCTAGAGGGACCGCAGTCCAATATTCCTGCAGCTGTCTGGCATGTTAATCAAAGACCAAAAGACAAAGAAAATCATTTTCTGCTCTTGACTGAATACATTTTTATAACTTTAATGGTAAGCATTCATCTGTATTTAATTTTTACAATGAAGACTAACGAAATTAAAGTAATCAAATCTAAAATAACACTGGATGTGTTATTTTACATTTGATTACTTTAATTTCTGTAGTATTTCTTACCTGAATAAAAACTTACTTAACCTGAAAAACTTAGTTTCATAGCTCTATTTCTTCTATTGCATTTATTTGTGCTGTTATTTGCCTTTTTTTTTTTTTTCTTATTTTATTACTGAATTTTACTTGTGTTTTTTTTATGAAAATAAAACTTTGCGTTGAAGAAAATCAGATTTTTGTTAGTATATGCTGTCAATTACAGTTCTTGGAAAGAAAATCGGTATCGGCAGATTACACTAACGAAAAATCGGAATCGGCCAAGAAAATTGCAATCGGTGGATCTCTAATTAGATCATAGTTCAATTAAGACATTTAAGCAATTTTCATAAACGTGATTAAAAAAACATTACTGGTGTGCATCTTGAGACAAAACAAAGGCACTGATATATTTTAAGATCAGTCAATGCAAGTTTCTTTCAGTTGAAACAGCTCAGACTTACATTTTAGTCTAGGACTACTTAAAATAAATACAAAATGTGTCCGTCTTCGATGGGACTGAGCCTTACAGTGTGTGTTAATATGTCCACAGGTGATTCAGTGGTGCACCCACCATAAAGACGACCCTCCTCCTCCTGAAGACGATGAGAATAAAGAGAAAAGAACGGATGACATCCCCGTCTGGGACCAGGAATTCCTCAAAGTAGACCAGGGCACCCTCTTCGAACTCATTCTGGTGTGTAAAACTGACCCGATGCTTGTGCTTTGACTGCCAGCATTCGTTAAAACGGTGCTGTATGCTACAGAACCGAGTCGCAGATCTGATCTCATGGGGGGAAAATAAAGCGAAATGCCGCCTGTTGGTTTTCAGGACCAGTTGAGTGCTTGAAATTGTAGGATAAACAAATGTGGCGCCCTGCATTTAATGAATCCCTCGGCTAAAAGAACGCACTATTATAGATCAGTGGTTCTGTCATCATTTACTGCCTGCATGTGCCTTCTGGTTCTTGAGACTGCAGTTTTTTTCAAAATAACCCCACGGTTAAACATTTATAAAAGTTCAAAGACCAAAGCAGAAACCAAACATTCATGATGCACCTGAAGACAGAAAAAAATCATAATTAATTTATACAATTTATTTAACGGTCAATATTGTACTCCAGTTTGTTGATGAAATATAAACATTTAAACGGTGGCTGTAGTAAAAACTTGTTTTCCTGACAGATTTATTCAAACATGCATTAAATAATGAAGACAGCAGGTCTTTCCTGTAAATGTATGGAATTTCTGACATCTCCCATTACGTGCAGGATTTCAATTAAATACTAATTTCTGAGTTTCTGACATTTACACCATTGATGTAACCGTCAGTATGCACTGGGAAAACACCCTCAGAAACCAACGTCAAATTGCTTTGAAGTGTTTAAAACCAAGTTCTCTTCTGTTTTTCACATCTTGGCTCCTCTGTGAAACGGTCTTAAAGTCCGCTGTAAACCAGTCTCTTGTGCTCTTCATGCTTCTGCAGTGAGTTGAGTGTTTGCACACATCAGAACAGCAGTGCGTTGACCCACCACACGATGGCTGCGTGTGAAACGCTCTCATCACGCTCACTTTCATCTCTCTTCCCTTTGTTTAGGCTGCAAATTATTTGGACATCAAAGGCTTGCTAGATGTTACTTGCAAGACGGTTGCAAACATGATCAAAGGCAAAACCCCAGAGGAGATCAGAAAGACTTTCAATATCAAAAATGATTTTACAGAGGAAGAGGAAGCCCAGGTAAAACAAGTGCTCATTTCCTGTCTCTCCTCTGTCACGCATGGTCTTAATGCGCTCAGACCGGTGCTGCTTCAGTGTCATTGAGATACTATCATAGTTTTTATTCATATTTTGAATCGGTTTTTAGATTGTTTTCGTTTTTATTTTAGTCAAAGTTTAATAATTTTGTGTGTGTGTGTGTGTGTGTGTGTGATGTATATATATATATGTATGTATGTATGTATATATATATATATATATATATATTTCACTTTTATTTGTTTTGTTTTAGTACATAAACTGTTAAAATTAGACCTATTGCTGAAATAGATTTTTAGATTTTCAGTAATGTTTTTTTTTTTCAAGTAACAAAAATGTTTTAATGGTTTACATTTTTCAGTTTTCGTAATAACTCCCCAGAATGTTGTTTGTTGCAGGTACGTAAGGAGAACCAGTGGTGTGAAGAGAAGTGAAGATCCTGACACACTTTTTAACACTACGGATTGTTCCCAAAAAAAAAAAAAAGTAATTAAAAAAAAAAATTGCACTGTTGATATTTGTTGAGATTTAACACAAATAAACATAATCAAATCCCTTGCGTTTTTGCTAGCATGACCATTGTCTTTGCTTGTGTGGTGTAAAAGCCTTTTTTTGTCATTCCTCTTCAGATGAAGGGAGTAGAGGAAACACTTTTTTTTTTTTTTTAATCTTTCTTACCACACTTTTATTTTATTTTAACGGAGCTCGTCACCAAGCGCCAGATTCTGTTTTCTGGTTTTGAGAAATGAACGTATAGCTTAAGGAACATTTCCTAAAAGATCAGTGTTGGAAATCTGAAGGTTGAGATGTTTGAAACATGTCTTGTGATCTGGAAGTCCTCGTGTCTGCGCGCACCTCATGTGCTCTGCCTCCGTGTATAGGATCGACAGTCTTTCACGGTTCTGCTCCTAAATGGTAGGCGATTAGGATTTTGAATCTTTTAATTCCAAAACAATAAAACAAGATTATTGTGGGATTTGTCAGTTCTCCGTTCAATGTCTTTTCTGCGTCTTGCAAGTGTTTTATATGTAGCTTTCCTTCCACTATCTAGTAGTTTCGACACTTGACTAGTATCTGTGACTCCTTCTGTTAGTGAGTCTATAGTGGCTCCAGACAGTATTTGTTCACTCGTGTGAATGTGATCACATTAGAGCAGCCGTCTGCATCTGCATCTCTGCTGCTGGAGCTTTTCTAACACTCACTTTATTTCTTATTAATTAGATCATTTTGTTCTTAATAATTAGTGCTCTGTGTCTTTGAAGCAGCTGTTTTTTGGTGACCTGGGTTTGAATCACTTTAACTCTAAACCATAGTGTCACAATCCTTTTGTCGTCGTTGTCAACTAAATCTATCATTTCACACCTAACAACATTTTTTTTTTTATTGTTATTGAATGCTTTTGTTTAAAGTGTGCTTTTGCTATTTATTGACTAATTTTTTTCAGACATTGTGTGAATTTTAGTGTCCATACATTTTGGCAATATGGCTATTGAACAAACCAGTAAACATCACACCTACTCTGAAGAAAAAAGTGACATTGGTAACATTTAACCTTATTTGTTAATGAAAATACAACTATTAGTTTTTAGTTCATGTTAGCTCTGTTCATTAATATTTTTCAGTGGACCTGAGCTAACATGAATTTGCTATAGAAGCCCTTTAACGCTACAAAAGGTAATTGCAACAATGTCTTTTTTCTCACAATTGTGAGTTTATATCTAGGAACATTCAATCCTGGGAACTGTGAGATCAGAATTTTTTTTTTTGCAATTGCAAGATATAATCTGGTAATTAAAAGAAGAGTCGACGTTGAGGGGTACACGTGAAATTTTGAGAAAAACTAGCTTTTTTTTTTTTTTTTCTGTCGCGGAAGCAGTTTTAGACAAACTTTGTGAAATGTGACTCAGAATTGTGAGGAAGGAAGTCCGAATTCTTGAGTTGGCATCTCGCAATTCTGACTTTTTTCTCTCAAAATTGCCTGAAACAAGTCAGAATTGTTAGATTTAACCTTTTTGAAAAAGTTGCAGTTGCCATTTTTTCTAATTCTGTGGAGGAAACGGGTGCAACTTTTTTTTATTTTAATTTGATTTTCAATCTTGAATTTTTCTAAGACTAATGAGTGCTTTAGATATTTTCCATTGTTAGTTCATGTTAACTAATGTAGTTAATGTTCATAAATAATTGTAGTAGTGGATGTGATGGGACACTGGCTTCCTAATAGCTATACTTCCTAAAAAGAGTAGTGAAGACAACAGACATGTTCAAATGGTATGCCACGCTGTCATATATCAGAACTCTTAGCAGTGTGCTCAAATGAGTTCATTATACAGTGGACAAAACCAGTAAAAACAGGTCAAGTTGGACACTGGTTCTGTTGCACATGTTGGTGAATGCATGCAAAAATAACAGCATGCTGCTGTTCCAATGGAGTGTCTGAAACACTGAAAGAACTCCATGAGACAGGTTTTTTTTAAATATTTTAATAAATCCAGAGCATGATACATCAAAAGCAAAAGGAAGAAAGATGGCTTGCTATATGTGAACACTGAAGATGTATGGCTCCCTCTGCCTGATCACAGGAGATGGCAAATGACATGATTGCTTCAGAACAGACCTGAGTCAACACTGAAACACACAGATACATGCACATCATTTCATACAGCGACGTTTGTATGATGACAGGCACAGCTGACTTCAGATCTACACCACAAAAGCTATTAAAAATGGCACTTGTATCAATAAAAGTAAACGGCCAAGGAATGTTTTTTCTTTTTTTTTTTGTCTTTACATAAAAACATATAAAAGTTTAGTTATTTACGGACTTTCAATCTATAAAAGAAGACGTTTAACACTTATTTGATCGTAGAAGAGTTAGCGTGAGAACTGACACTGTTTTCAGTGATGTAAAGATACGGCGTTTACATGATGAAAATTCTTAACACACAGTGGCTGAATCTCATGAAGAAACATCCAGGTCAAGCTGGACCACAACATCAAAAGATGAAGGAAGAAATGTATATTGCATAAAGAAAATAAAGTCATTTTGACCATTCAGAGTTTTGGGATTGTGGTGAAAGTTAAGCACATCTCCCCCAAATTTCACATTACTGTAATCCACAAAATAAAACAATAAAACATTTCCACTACAGTAACTGCGTTGTACTTTCTAATGAGAATTAAAGTATAGTGAGAACTGTAATGCAGTAATGAAAATCATATATACAATAAAAAACAGGGTTCGACATTAAACCTCGTCGCCAGACACATAAATCGGTTATTCACTTGTCCAATTATTATTTTTTGTGGTGTAAATGTAATTTATTCTGAAGTAATACTCTCATCAGTGTTCTCTCGGTGCTTTCTTATTTTTTATCATCTGAAGCAGCACTGAGATGCACAGACTGTTTAATGAAACACTGAGGTGACAAATGCATTTACACTGCAAAATAATGTTATGAGATTAATGTTTTAAACGTATGTATTTTTGAATATACAAATGAGAAATGTTGGGTAAAAATGCAATCATATTTTAAAATATGAAACCAACCTACCAGTAGGTGGCAGTAAGTAACTGTCTTGAGTCATTCATTCAACCGATTCGTTCAAACAGCTGATTCAATCAAGAATGAGAAAATAAGTGAGTCATTGAATCGTTCACTCAACAGATCAGCTCAGAGACCCTCAACGGTCCTGCTGTGGCTTTGTTTGGAACTATTTTTGTTGGCAAAATGGAGAGAAAAACTGACTAAAATGTAACCAATTTAATATAAAATTCTTGTTTGTTGAATTGTATCAAAATCAGTGTCACATTTGCAATCGTGCTGATATTTGGGAAAACAGCACTCTTGCTTGTGTGATGTTGCTTAACTGTATCGTGATATAAAATTGTTAATGTTGAGCCCTGCAATAAATAAATATATATATATATATATATATATATACATATATATAGAAGAATGGGGGCTGGCGCAGCGTCCTCTTTGAAGGTAGCGAATGCACTTCTTTTTCCTCCTAGGAACAGTCAAGAGAGTTATCTGTGAATAAAACGTGGATGTGAAACGTCACAAATATGAACTCTGGACAACAATGACAAAAAATAAAGAGCACAAAACAAACAGTTATGCCAGAATATATAGTGTAAAATAAGTGCAAAAAAACCGACGTGTGAAATTACTGAAAGCAGGAGTGCTTTATTCGACCGTTCTGATGGAAGTTTAAGCTTTTCCAAAAAAAAACATGACACTTAAATCTCCAGTGAAGTTTTATTCTCGTGGTGAGTGAATGTTTTCATGCAGAAATCATGATTCTTCCGTAAGTTCACACTCTAAATTTAGGATAAATTTTTGAACGAACTCAAAGCATAGATCAGAGGAATTTCAAGCCAATCACATTCAACATTTTAACAGTAAAATACATTCAAAATGTATTTCAATTCACGAACACAAGCAGGAACGGTATTTACAGTTGAGTGCATAAGTTTGTAGAATCTTCAAGATGTTAATAATTCAAAAAGAGGGATCATAATTGTTTATGTGGACTACATATGGAGCTGCTGAAGGACAGTTCTAAAAGATCTTTTATTTTTGTTTTCTGCAAGTTTTTTTTTTAAACTTCGGAAACTTGTGCACTCAGCAATTCATACAAATACTAGACAGTCACATTTACAGTAACATGTTTTAAAATGTTACTGTAAATGTGACTGTCTAGTATTTGTATGAATTGCTTTAACATTTTAAAACATGAACTGCCATTATAAAAATGAATGATAAGCGGTGGTTCGAACCAGCTGACCATTTGACTTGAGGAAATGAACTGAACTTCTTAACTCGATCACAACATTTTTAACTAATAGGTAGCATGTTTTCTGAAATGTTATGTTTAAATATGCAAATGAGGCATTATCTTATTTAAAATGCGCTAATTTGCATACATTTCCAGAACAGAAATCTGAAGCTCAAATGAAGCCAGGTTCAAACTTCTTTTCATTTTTTCAGCATATCGGAGAATAAAATGTTATATAAATCAGGTGAATGAAAGGCTAAAACCCTTCAGAATCTAGACAGGAATAAAACTGTAAAGGTGTCAGTGCTGCTGAAGTGGTGAAAAAAAACTCACCACCTTTAAATATGCGTATTGTACTTGAGATCTACAGATGCAAACAGATGAAGTGCCGGAAGGAATAGTTTTGAAGTTTGCACTGAAGTTGAAAGCAATAGCAACACACTGCCTGGAAACCGCAGCGAAAGCAAACCACAGTCAGGAGAGGCTGGAGATCAGTCACAAATCAGAGTCACACACACGCTCTCGGCCGCATCAAAGTCTTGCAGCCTTCCTCTGACAGGAACGTCACCGGCTCTCGGCCAACGCATCTGCAAGCGTTTGCTCGCTGAAGCTCTCCGGACCGCAGCCAGATCACACGCTTCTCACCGTCAGCGAGCAGAAGCCGTGCGTCTGGGACATTTCCACAGCGT